TGATATGATTTTATTGCTCTAAATTACAGCACTTTCTGCCAATGTTTAGATTAAAAGATCAGAATACTCAAATACCCCGTAAACACATATATTTGGCTATCCACATTATCAGGCGCACTTCTACAGACTGATGTGATCCAATGTACTTACCCAAGTATTCAGTATTAAATTTATTTGCTGCTGTGCACCCTTACCACTAACCAACCAACTAACACTAAAAACTTCATCACGGTAGCAAAACAATATATTTAAAAGCAAAACATGACTATTACAGGCATCATGTAAGCAAACTTGCAGTGTTGCAGTGCTGTATTGCATTTCTGTGTACACCTAATAAACTGTACAATGAGTGCAAAAAAAATTGTGATTTCTTTAACTTTGCCTCCGACACCGTCTTTATTTTTCATTAGCCTGACACCTGTGTTTTTATGCCTCAAAACATTGAAATATGATATTTAAATCAGTCTACAGTATCAGTTTGAAGATTTTGTTATTTGATATACCCCTAACAGTCCTTTTAGATAAGTGTATGTACTGTATGTACTTCATGGTAGCATCTTCGCAAATGAGTATATATAATGGCTTAACTTTCTGAGACCTGAACTCTTTCATGGCAGGCATTTTTAATTTCTCATTGCTATTTGGGCTGATTGGGACCTGGTGAATGTAAAAATAAAGAATTACCAGATTTGTATTTTTTTTAAAACTGATTTTTGTTTCTGAGAAAAATGTGATCCATATATGAGGACATTCATTTTAAATTTCGATAGAACAGTGGCAGTATAATGTCCTGGATATCATGCCGGTGTGGAGCAAAATTTTGTATTTTGGTCTAGACAACCCAAAATGTGATGTGGACACCAGGTCCTAGGAAGCTAAGTTGGCATTAACAATTCACGACATTAACCTAATGTTCATTAGGTTAATGTCAGTGCTAATGCTTTCTTTCTGTTGGACATGTTTCATGTTACATTTGGTTTTTTGCTCACTTTTTGCAGGCTACTTTTCAGGCACTGTCACGATGCTAATATCATTTCATTAGAAATCAGGCAGATCATTACTGATTAATTCAAAAATCAGCACCAATTCAATTTAAACTTGACGACATACACAAATGTCTCCTTTATACTAAATAATTCTCGAAACATCCTTGAAAATGTTTTTACATTCATATAATTTGTAATTTTAACTTTTTTTTGACAAAATTTTTTTATTTTAAATTCTATATACCATGCTATAATACTAAATAATATTTAAATTAAATATCATTGACTTTTGAATCTCATTGCAAATTTGACCTGAACTCTACCTGCTTGTAAGTCAAAGGGAAACGGAGAAAATCTGTTGCGTTGGATTTTGGCTAAGGTGACCCTTCAAATTCAAAACAGAAGAAGCCACTGCACGCTACTCAGATCATGACTGATACTCTTGTGTGTTGTTTGTGAATGTTCTCCTTCATTTGTGCAGAGACCCGGAGTCGAAAGTTGAAGTGCTTCTATCCCATCCTGTTGACCACCGTGGAGTAAGTGTCCTGGGCGCGAGTTTGAGG